TTGTCAAATGAGATGCAAATTATTTATCTTACCTCTCAACCCTTTCCAAAAGGTAAAGTTTCCAGGGGAACTGTGAACCCACAAGTGGAGACTAGAGAGAGCTGTGTGAATCACTGCTCAGTTGGAAAAACTTGGGAACTTCTCAGTTCCAAGAAATATGGTAATCAAGATAAATAATATTTTCATACAACATTTAAAAAATCAGAATCAATGCAAAAAAATCCATGATGATCAAAATATCAAAATGTTAATTATTAATGGTATTAATAATTAAATATTAATAATAAATATTCAAGGCAGTACCCAATTCTGCACTTACAAGATCCTGCCTTGCTTCACTCTGACCCTGGCTGTAGTGAACCCTGATATTACAGAAGAGACATGTTATATGTAAGGATTTCTTTGCATGAAGTTTTTGTGTTTTGGGGGCAGAATGTGTGACCCGAGTGTATCTGCATATTAATTACCTAAGCTTCTACTAGAAATAAACCAAGAATATTCATTTGTGTTGTATATTGAAAGTACTTATATCTGTTATATTTCTGAGGGTAATAATTACAATAGTGGCTCTATTTTATTGAGTGCTTACTACATGACAGTCACTCTGCAAGGGACTTTATGTAATAATCTCTTTTAATGCTCAGAGTACTCCTATGAAGTAGGTACTGGTATTAAGCTCAAGAGGAAACAGAGAGTTGGAGAGTTAAGTAGCTTGCTTGAGCCTACCCAGCTAATAAGGGGCCAACCCAAGCTGATGGTGTAACTTAGCCACACAGGGTTTGAGAAGCCACTCATTATGTATCTGAATCCTTTTAATCCAATATTTAATGTAGCTTAAAATGTGCTTTATGCACCCAGGATGATTGTGCAGGCTTGGGTGATGATCTACCACAGAACAAGTCAGAGCTACTCATGTGTCCTGGATGACTTCTGTGTACATTTCCAGAGATAATTCAGTAGGAATCATTTCCTCCACCTCATGGCTTTCCCTAGTCACTTGCTCTGCTTTCTCTCTTGTTTTGTGGTATTTTTTGTGGGGGCGCGGGAGGAAAAGAGAGAGAGAGAGAGAGAGAGAGAGAAGAGGGGAGAAATGATGGTGATGGTAATGACGATGATGGTGGTGGTGGCAGCATTTATTGAGGCCTTGTCATGTGCCAAGTACTGTGATGAGAGCTTTATTAGCGTCACTTCATTTTGTTGTCATAAAGCCTATGAAAGGCTAATTAATCCCCATTTTCTGATGAGGAAACTGAGTCTCTGAGGATGTAAGTAACTTGCCCCAGAGCACAAACAGACAAAAGACAGGTAAGGCCTATGCTCTTAATGACTAATTGGACAAAGGAAGAAAGAAGAATTAAATGGCAGTTTCAAAAAAGCCTCTAGCTCCTCTAAGAGCCTTCAGAACTGGCTTCAGCAATGGAGACGCTCCCGACTTTCCGAGGGGCCTTATTATCCTGCAGGCCGGCCGTAGCTACAATGGACATCCTTTTTTGTCCCAACTCCAAAACCCTTACAGGATTATCCCCAGAGTGCATACATTACAGGTGCCCAGGGTACTGGGGAGTTTATTTCTCCAGTGCTTTTTTAGGATTAAAGTAACCTTACTTAGGAAGTTTCTAATTGATATGCCTGAATTAGGGGTGGCAGCAAAGGCATCATGGTTGTACTTAACTACTTAGTATATGTCATCGGCTCACAATTTTTATTCCTAAGGGTTTCGAGAGTACATTTTACCAAAATGATAGTGCCCAGGTGTTAGGCTATCTTGGGGAAAGGCATCTCTGAACCAAAGAGAAAACAGAATGGGGAGAACTAAAAATGTTTTATTAATTTCCTCTTCTGAAGAATCATAACAAATCTGCTCTATTAGCATCAATCTCAAATCAAGCAAACCTGATTAATAAGTACTATAAACTGCACGAGGAAACCCAAGAACAGCCCAGACACCCAGGAGTCTGCAGCTACATGTTTAACAACTGGCTTTCTGGAAGGAAGAATGCCCTGGTTTGCGGTTTTAGCCAGTGTCCATGGTGCAAAAACTCCCGCCCTGGCCTATTTCTGCCTGTCGGTGTGCTGCTGTGTGCATTCTGGAATAGATGCACAGGATCAGCTCTGGTGGCCAGTGTACTATCATTAAAACCTCTTGAGGAGGAGTGATTAGACTGTCAGCTAGGTCAGCCCTGTGCCTAATCCTGGAAAACTGCTCTCTGGACTCACTGGCTGTGTGACCTTGGGCAAGTCATGTCACCTCTCCAAGCCTTTGTTTCCTCCTCTTCAAAGGATAATATGGAGGATCCCTTTCACCTCTAACATTTGAAAGTTCTGGGAGGCAGTGAGTGACTCCTGTTTTCTCCAACATCCAAATGCCTTCAAGCGCCTTCCTGGAAAACCAAGTTAGCGCTGTGCTGCATCCAAAAGGGCCGCCAACTTCATCGACTGAGCATAAGGTTTGGAAAGGAGTGACTTCTCCCTTTTGCCTCTTTAAATGTGGAGCCAATGGGGCATCATCCATTTTTTTACACTTCTTTTGCTAGATGTGAGATCCAGGAGGAAAAGCATGGATGTTCCAGGGCTTTCGTGTTCTCCTGGGGTGGGAATCTGTGAGTGTGATGCGCCAATCCATTGCTATGTGCATTTCCTATCTCTCTACCCTTTCAGCAGCAGAGAAAGAGTCCTGATTGTATTCAACCTTTTTGTTTTTATTTTTTGCTACCCAAAAGCCATTGACAAGGATGGGAGCGACTTATATGAAACCAGGGTGGGGGTCGTTTTTTTTCCTGAAAGGTGGCACGTCTCTCAGCAAAGAGAAAAAGGCATGTTGCACAAGGCTTGCTTGGCAGTGATAGAAGCCAGCGCCAATTTGCCTGGCATCACAGCCAAAGCAAAATGCCACCTCTGCCTGGAAGCCAGAGTGCCACATTCCTCTTTTATGTCCCTGAGATGCACCCATCATGAGGCCCTGGGCTTGTAGGCTTGGTCAGGAAGTCATCTGAGCTCCTTGAAGGTCATCTTCCAATCCCGGGTGGGGGGGGGGAGCTTGCTCATAACTCTCAAAATAGATAATTCGAGCCCCCAGATTGCATGTCAGATACAGCCAGTAAATATGGAATTTGAGGCCTGGGGGGAGCACAAGAGCGCCCCCAGTTGCTGAGAGTAAGGTAGGGTTGAGGAAACACCAGTGACCCGGTGGTAGTCCTGTCTCAGACCCCTTCTTAACAAACCCAGATACAGTGATAACAGAACTCCAGAATCCCAAGGCAGGAGGTGCCAAAAACACCCCCCAACAATCACTAGCCCCAAAAAATAAAAGTTTCAGTAAAATGTTCTCACTCCTAGAGGGGAAAACCTGTCCATGCCTGAAGCAACTTGACCTGGGCAAACGCCCTCCCTCCATGGAGTGAACTGCAAATCTCAAGAAAAACTCCCTACCCCGCCGCCTGCTCCCTGGGGAGGGACAGAATGTTCCTGAAACTGACAGTTTCGCCTCCATGATCTTTAAAAGAGCAGAAGTTGGCTGTGAGGCTGCAGTGCTGCCTTGATTGGGGTAGTGTGGTCTCTGTTTGCGGCTGGGCTCCAAGGAGAGCCACAATTGGCTCTGATGAGGAAGGAGCCTAGAAATGAAAGATTTCAAAGAGGGCTTCTGAACGCCATGGCTGAGACTGTGTCGTTTCTTGCAAGGTGAAACTTGGCAGTTCTACCTTGCAAGTAAAAACCCAAATTAATTTTTTTTTAAAGAAATTAAGTCAGAAACAAGGCTTCAGAAAAACTGTGAGTGTTAACCATAAACTGATTTTGGATGATCTTTAGGTGAGAAAGGGTGGAGTTACCATCAGAAACATGTTTTTATTTATGCTTTTCAAATCCCCACTGGTGTGCAATGTGTGTGCATGTGTGTGTGTGCATGTGTGTGTATGTGTGTTGGTTAGCATGAGAGTACACATCATCTCAATTCTGTAGCCACTCTTTTTTTTTTACATCTTTTCTGTGCACAGTTCATATAGATGCCCTATAAATAAATATATAGGTCCATCCACACCTTTTCATTTTATTTGTAAATTGTTTGGTATAAGCGGCAATGCGTAATGAAACCTGGTGAAGTTTAAAAGATTAGATTTTTTTTTTCATGCTGACACTTCATAACACTGTTCATATGTCTCCGAGTGAGATTTATGAATATATGAGCAGTACTGCAAAATTATACCGCATCAGAGACTTCCTGCACCACAGGGGTGGCAGTCTAAAGTGACACAGCTTCAAGCATTTTTCACAGACAAGAAGCAAAATTTAACCCCCTTAAGGGGAAGTATGATTTCAACAGCTTGAAATGAGCTCATTTGTAGATGTTTTTTTTCTCTCATCTTCCATAATTTTTTTGGTGTTAAGATTAAAACAGATTGCACGACGAACGGAAGGGCACATAAGCTGCCCAGAGTATAATTTGGCCATTAAAGAGAAGCCCTCCTTCATGATCTTTATCTGAACACCCCAGCAAGGTAAATGAAAGTAAACTTTGCCCTAAATTGTTAAGGCTCTCAGCCTGATTCTTGGAATAGTCCATAGCAGAAGAGGTCTGGATTTTTCAAAGGGTAAGTTAACAAGTGACATCAATTAGTTCAGTGGAGAAGCCCCGCCTTCCTGGCACCCAAGACAATGGCATTAGGAAACAAACAGTGACTGGACTCTCAACTGAGTAAAATTAACCAATAAAAGGAAGAATTCGAAGAGCAAACGGTGATCTATATAAATTAATCATACGTGGGGTGTCTATAGTAGAGGAGTTCTGGTTTCGATTCACACTCTAAACCCATCTCTTTTAGGCCGACCTGGTACCTTGTGATTTTGTGTCAATTAATGTTCATGATCTCTATGCTCTCGAATGCCCTTTAACAATTTTGTTTCCTCTTGGAACAGACGAGGGTGCTCAAATGGGGCCTGTTCCCTCTCTGCTCTGTAAACACTCCATGATGTGTTGGCTGGAGAACTTTTGTCTCTTTTTTCAGCAATGGTACAACAGCTCCATGAACGTGATCTGCACCTGGTTGACGGACCGAATGGACTTACAGCTTCACATTTATCAGTTGAAAACACTAATTAGGATGGTAAAGGTAAAAGAAAAAATATTCTTCTTTGCAAATAGCTTACTGAAATTCATTTCATTGGCAAGCTGCAGAACTTCCTTAACACAAAGACTATTAGTTTATATATAAAACAAAGTGATTTCTAAAATAGCATCTCATGCAAGAAAAACCTATGAAATCACTTTGGGGTGTGTGGTTAGTTACTCTGGTGTCAAAGAAAAATTTAATAAAAAAGAATTTGATATGTTATCTAAACTGGAAAAACATTTTATGTGTTTGCCATGTAAAAATACTGCAGGAGCCATCATGCCCTTTGCATTAGACTTTCAAAAGCTGGATTCGGGTACCACTGTGCTAATCACATCAATTACCAATTTCATTTATGGTTTAATTAAATCAAATTTTGCCATTATTGATTTAATTGAAATATTTACCTCCGGCTATTTCTAAATATGTCCTGTGATCATTACCAGGATGCAAATCAATATTGTTCTCATAGTTAATTGAAGTAGTTTCTTTTACAAAGCGTGTATACAATCCAATGTAAAGGCTCACAAAGGTGAGATAACATACCCTGAAAGTAGCTTTTTTTCCCTGTTCTTGTGTGTGTGCCTTGGACTAATGATAATTATTTCAGCGTGAAATCTCAGTGGTTTACATGAAATAATAAGATCCCAGAAGGGGGTAAATACGTTTTTGATCATTTCAGTTTCCATTTGATGCTTCACCATAGAGGGTTTTAAAATATTCGTATGCAAAAACCTCGTTCAAAGCACAAAGTTCCTTTAAAAATATTTTAACAATAAAATGTAGCTAAATTTCTATTTCTTAACAGTTTGCCAAAAATCCCCCCACCCCGCTATTCCCCACCTCACCCCCCCTCCCCATTTCTTAGTCTCTTTCGGATTAGCACCATTTCATTGAAGGTGCTCCTCCACCCCAGTGCTGACTTGAAACCAATTACTGTTCCGTTGAGTGTAATTAAGGAGAATTATTATCATCTGCATTTGATCTCACAAAGAGCCCGCCCAGGGAAGGTTACAGACAGCACTGTATTGCACTCTGTGTATTTCTTTTTTAAAAAAGAAATGTATGCACTCAGACTATGGACCCAGCCTATTTTATATATTTTTTTTATTTCAGTTCCTTAAGGCAAGCTCACTAGCCGTTATTGTTTGACCACCAGAATTCCATTTTCTGGGTGTAAATATTCTTTGAGGGAATTTCTGGTTGACCCCTAGTGAATAGGCATGAAAAGAAGACATTCATTTTAATATTTTAAAATATCTTCTCATTACTGATATTTCCAGGTCTGTGTTAGTAACATTGGAATACGCAATATTTTAGTAAGGAAAAAATATGTCAGAGAGGAGGTTTATTCTGCCAGAAACACACACACACACACACACACACACACACACACACACAGAG